CTGTTCTGCCCATATGGCAAAGCATTTAACCTGTGTACATATTACTGACTGGCTGAATATTACACGGTTATTCTGCTGTAGTTAATGGATGTCAGCTATGAAATATTAAATTCGACCTTCGAACTGAGTCCCTGAGGCTTCATTTTGACTGGTCCACTCCAAGTTGGCGATTAAACTCTAAGGAAATTAAAAAGCTGAAACGCCCTAAGTATGTTGTAGAGGGTCGTTGCTGCATCAATAGCAATAGGTTTGATAGAAGATGTCCAAAATTTGCACAATAGACCGCGAGGAACAAGCATGACTTTTCAAGGCAAAGGTAAAATAAATCAACCTCGCTTGCTAGCGCAACTGCCTTTGCATGGACTGTAGGGCAGCGAAAATTGGGTGTAGGCTACTTACGCGCTTCGCAACCGACATGGCAGCAACACGTCTTGGTTGAGTGCATCCAATCCTGCCAGATGTGGTGTAGCCAGCTTCGGCGAGGTATTGTGTGATCTGTGTAGTCTTTCCGCTGCCAGTCTCCCCGATGACAATTAAGATCTTGTTCTCCGCAACAGCCTGTGGGCGGAGGGGGGGAAGATAAACATTTACACCTGTCAGTACAGAAATGCATGGAGCAAAGGCTGGTTTTTTTAATCAAGATCGAGCAAATTACACCTTGGCGAATGAAGAGTAAGCATTGTTTAGAAAGGGTTCTTCTAGAACCAAGTTCCTGCTCAACAGTATTCGTAAAAAAGATTGAGCTGGCAGAACGACTTATGAGCGCTGGGTTTTTTAAAGCGTAACTAGAGGAGTTCGTGTAAAGTCATCATCCTGCTTCTTTGAAGAAAGACGGTTCCAGCTATTTTTCAATCTGATCATCCCTTCTCGTAAAAGCCAGTATGATAAATTAGATTATTTTATTTTTAGGTATTACCGACAAATACATAAGGGCGATAGGATACCTATTTCTAGCTTATAAGCCTTGTCAGCCACCGATACCCAGCTCCGGCGTTGCCGCTGAAATTGCTGCCGCACTGGAGTTTCCAACCGCCGACCTCTCTGGTCAGTCTGTCGGTAATACCTAAAAATAAAACGTTACTGAAACTTAGTGAGTAACATT